ACAAATATCGGAGGAGGCCTTGGTTCCCTGGGTACTGCTGCTGACTCCATTACTTCTCTGTCATTATGAAGCACTTGGAACGGGTTTGGAGTGAAGAAAGGAGATTCTTCAACCATTTCTTGCGAAGAGGTACCTGGTTGAGGCTGAGGTTCTGTATCTGAAGTTTTCACTGTGGTTATTGGAGCTATTTCTCGCAGGCAGCGACGAGTTTTTTGTTTCACTGGTGAATCACGAGGGGTGCTAACGCCGTCTGACCGAGTCCTCTTAGTGGGCACCTTACTGGACATCACTGGCTGACAATGCCGCATATCATAAGAGAAGAAAAAAAAATAAAAAAAAATAAAAATAAAAAAAAAATGAAAAAAAAATGTAGCAAACTGTAAATAATAACTGCTCTGGTGTACACTTCAACTATATTCTGTAAATAATCAAAGAGATCCCGCTGAAAAATAGGCAACAACTGAGAGAAGATTTCAGAACACGTCCTTCGCATCAGCTGATCCACTGCCTTCGTGTTGATTTTAAAGCTGCTTTTGACAGAGTCTGTCGGAAAATCCTTCTGAATAAGCTCCTCAGAATGAATATAAGTGGAAAAATGTACCGAGTCATACGGTCCTTCTTGGCCCACTGGTTTCTCAGAGTAAGATACAATGGCTAATGTTCAAGCTTCAGAACTTTTAGCCAGGGAATTTCGGAAGTTTTTGAGCCCTATACTCTTTAATATAATGATAAATGACTTAATGGCTGTGCTCGAGAGAATACTCAGAATATCTGCTTTACTGTTCGCTGATGATCTACTAATATATGCGACTAGTACCACGACAGCACTCGAAGGAGCAATTAATGAGGAAATTCTAATTCAGCGCTGCGGTGGGTAAGGATGAAACAAATTTCTAAGGTGAGATATCAGCGATCTTCATAATTGTCTCCAGAGCGCTGTTCTCATCATCGACTCCCAAGCAGCCATCCTTGCTGTCATTAACACGAATGAATGTCTATCGACTCTATAAGTTGGAACTCCGAAACAACAATGTGTTCCTACAGAGGATTCCGAGTCATTGCGGAATTCCAGGAAACGAAGAGGCAGATAGTCTTTTCGAGCGAGGAATAGATTTGTCTTTGCCTATCCAATCTTATGGCTCAATACTGTGAATGGTAAGGGTGGTAGTGAAGGAAGAATTAAGAAAAGTACACTTGGAAAAGGTAGAAGGGAAACGTTATAAGTGTTTGACAGATAACCCAGTCCCAGCTGACCTACCAAGAAGAGATGCAGTAGCCTGCTTTGGCCTGACGACTGTCATCTCCACAAGATAGACATGGCTGGGGATCCTAGGTGTAAATTATGTCATCAAGGGAGAATGGATGCAGACCACCTAGAAAAATGTTCTATTTTGACGGACAAAAGAAAAAAGACATTTTTAAATGAACATATGAAAAAATATAATTTATTCTAGGCAGCAAGATGGATGGCCGACCCCTGTTCTAAAGAATTAGTTCAGGGTCAGTTCTACTGAGTGAAGAAAAGATAAATAAGTAGCAAATATCACAACTTCCTCCAAAGATTCATCTTATATCTAGGGTTGCCAGGTTTTTTAATTTCCAAAGTATGGCAGAACGAAATCGGCAGAGGGTGACAAATGAGCTTTGTTTGCGTAAAATAAAAGGCAATGAAGTGAACACTGTTATTGTTTGAATAATAACTTTATTTCCGAACTTTTATTTTGAAAACTTAACCATTGCCTGCTAAGGAGGAAAAAGGAGGAGGAGTAATAACCCCCTTAAAAAACCTGGGTACAGCTGGCACGGCTAATGGCGGATAGTACCCAGTAAGGGCCCCTTCCTAGGGTTAAAGGACTGGCCTTCCAGGTTGGGTGTTGAGCGGAGGGATTAGCAGCTCATAAAACTTCTTCTGGCTGTGACACATCAAGAAAATTGCCTCGGATTTGGACAGTATAAATGGTATCGACCCGGCGTTCTCAAGGAATTCAAGTTGGTGTATGAGCCTTCTACAAGAATGTGAATGCCCAGCGTAAAGAATTCAAGCCTAGATCCAATGCTTACCGAGGAGAGGATGGATCACTTATTGCAAGCAAAGACACCATTCTTGACAGATGGGTCACCCACTTTAGAAGTATTTTGGGAACCCCCCAGAACCCCACGGTGAATAGTAATTCCTGTTCTGTGCAATGGCTTCGAGTTAACCGATCCACCAGATGACGAGGAAATATATGACTCCATCCAAAAACTAAAGAACAACAGGATCTGATAACATAACCGCGGAACTTCTGAAGGCTGGAGGGAACGAACTAATCAAAGTTATCTGTGAACTTCTGCATAGTATTTGGATAACTAAGACCATGCCTGAGGAATGGTACACCGGCGTTATCATCCCTCTCCATAAAAAGGGAGATCGAACCAACTGCAATAATTACCGTGGTATAAATCTCCTCAATTGCACATATAAGGTGTTATTTAACGTCATCTATCAGAGACTACTTCCGCATGCAGAAAGAGAGGTGGGAATCTATCAATGTGGTTTCATGAGAGAGAGATCTACCACCGATCACATCTTTGCCTTAAGGACCCTGCTTGAAAGAACAAGGAAATATAATATTACCACACATCACCTTTTCATAGATTTTAGCAGTGAATATCACAGTTTCATCAGAGAGAGGTTGTATTAGGCTATAAAACAATGAATATCCCACTTGAATTGATCCATCTTACAGAGCTGCTGATGATAGGATCAAGGTGTCAAGTCAAAATACAGGGAGACCTGTGAGAGGCATTCACGACTACAAGGGGCCTAAGACAAGGAGATGGCTTATCATTCCTGCTCTTTAATCTTGCACTAGAAAAGGTGATAAGGGACTCCGAAGTGCAAAGAAATGGAACGATTCTCACCAAATCAGTACAGATTCTGGCCAAAACAGATGATATTGGTAATGGGTCTGAGTATTAACCATGCAAAGAACAAATATATGGTTGCCAAGTCACCCAGGCCACCACCACCCACAGTTATATCTGGAGGATACACATTCGAAAATGTAAATAATTTCGTGTATCTAGGATCCTTATTTTGTGCAGATAATGTGCCTAGTCAAGAAGTGCAGAGAAGAATTACATCAGTTAATAGGTGCTATTTCGGCCTAGCTAAAATTTTAAGAAGTCAACTGGTGGCTAGATCCACCAAGATCTCTCTGTACAAATCTCTTATTAGTCCTGTACTGAAATATGACTCAGAGACATGGCCATTATCACGAATCACGAAGACGCCATCAGGTTGCAGATTTTCGAGAGAAAAATCCTGAGAAGAATGTTTGGCCCTGTAAAAGTTGAAAATCAGTATAGGCTAAGGCATAATGCAGAGTTGTACCAAATTTACCGGGAACCGGATGTGGTGCACTTAATACGGCTCTCTAGGCTAAGATGGGCTGGGCACGTTGCAAGGATGGATGGGGACTCACCAATCAGGCGGCTACTGTTCGGGTATATGGATGGCAGAAGAAAGAGAGAACGACCACGACTGAGATAGGCAGATGAAGTCGAAGCCGACGTAGAGAAGCCTCTGGACACTAGAGCTTGGCAGACCCTTGCACAAGACAAAGAGGAATGGAGGTGACGCATTAATGAGGCGAAGACCCGTGCCGGATTGTAGTGCCTGTGATGATGATGATGTTTTAAAAAACAATGCTAATTAAAACATATATTTTTTTACATTATTTTATAAATTTGAATTTCATGTTAGATAAATTACTTATCAATGCACTACTACCTATCATATATATACTTAGTACTTCGTTTGAGTGGTCTTCATGTGTGTTCCTGAATTCTCAACAATAAGTCAAGATTGTTCTGCCACGATATCTGAAAATGTAAGCAAGGTCGGACAGGAAGGGACAAAAGAACACGTCCCAGGTGACAGACTTTAGAGGGCGACAAATTTCGAGATATAATTGTTACCGCAACAAAAAAAAAATTTCTTTCTTATTTGTGTTTTTTTTACCCATAATTCAGTCAATGGCACTAATAATTATTATTCGATGACAATATTCATTTCAATACTGACGCAAAACGTTGAATTTTACTGAGGGGAGAGGGGTGATAATAAATAAACCTGTCTCTCCCAGTAAAATCTTAGTTCTTGCCCAAACACAACCTGGGCTATTGCACGGAGGCGTCCGCCACTTGTTGGGAATAAAAAAAAAAACATTACAAAGCGTATGAGAATAGTTAATTTTAGCCGATTAATAAAGCAACTGAATTAGAGACATATTGAATGAAATACAATTCAAATATTACTTCATATAAAACAACATAAGAAACAGTTTTAATTTGTTTGGGGAAAAGACGTTATTGTCCGTTGGCGTTAAATGATCATACATTTGCACAGTATATGGACAGTATCATTCAATTATTTGTAGAATAGTTCGGTTATTCATCATTATCGTTTGAGAACACTTTACTTTCGTTTTGTTATTGGCTTGTTGAAGATGTAGCTACGTTGGAAGAAATTTGTTAGATGGCATGTTCTGCCTCATTCACTTAAAGATAACGTGGCTGAATTGAGATGACATGCTATGCATTAAACTTTATTTTCAATTGACAGCAATAGAAACGGAAATAAATAAAAAGTCTATGAAATTAAATTTTAAAGTTGAAACATTAAATGTAGAAATTACTAAATGATTCCAATTAAAAAAAAATACAATTCCGTAATATAACCAAGTATAATTGAATCAAATAACAATAGAGAACATTATGCCGAAAAACTACAAATCTATTTATCATTGCTTATCTCTCCCTTACTTAGACAAACTAACACTTTCTAAAAAAACTTCTCTTAATAATTATAATTGTTCTATACCAATTTTCGCTCTAGGTGCGGAGCTCGAAGGATTTGCTGCTTTGGCCCTGAAAAATAACTTTTGCAACCATGTTCTGTTTGAAAAAAAGTGATTTTATTTTCTCAGTTTAAAACTAAAAATACTATTTTTTAGGATCACAGTTGGGACAGTTCACCAATATAGCGGTAACAAATTGTGACCCAACCACCTCAGCGTACTGCAAACTAAAAAGAGGGACTAATGTCACACTTACAGTCAAGTTCACCCCAAGTAAGTTTTTTTTCTCATTCAAAAATTAGGTTAATTGGATATCGAATAAGTCCTAAATACTTATCTAGGTTATTACCACTTAATTTATTTGTAGCTCTTAGATTTATAGGCTCCTGAATTTTGTTTGGCAAGTTGGTATATTTTTTCATAACCTACAAGTTCTTTATGATCAGGAGCCCATATTAGAAAAATCGAGAAACTCTATAGCCTGTTTGTACCCTATTAATAGCTTAGATGTCACTCCAGGACACTCAAGAAGAACATGAAGAGTGCCCATCTCAGTGAATAGGGATGCTTTTTCTCTGTCACAGTTAATAACTTTTGAAAAGATCCCACTGAAATGAAAATACAGTTACCCAAATACGACATATCAAAATCTTCTGTGCACTTGTCAAACTGAACTACTACAGTTTCGGACAGAGACAGATCCAGGAATGTTCTGAGAGGGGCGCACTTGCGAAATAAATATACCAAAGATGTATAAATGTGTGTGCATATATATAAAGAAATGTGTATTTTTTTTTATTATTTATTTCGTCTAGTACTTTGCCATATAATGGTAGTAAAAATTCCTCAACTGGATACTTGACATCAAACATAAAACACTACATTTCTACTGTTCATTTTTCCTAATTTTGGTGTCTTGAAGTTTTTTTATTTGTTACAATAAATTAGGCCATTTTTCACCAACATTTTATTATTACGCATCAATTTAACGTTTCGACCATACTAAGGGTCATTTTCAAAACTGGAAAATTATAATAACATTATTAGTTAATATTCAGCAATTATAAAATGAATTTCTTATTACATTTAATTGAATTGTCTAATGTTCTATGTCAAATTATTTCCGATATACATAAATTTATATAAAAATATACATAAAATATACACTTTTTATTAAAAAAACCCTTACATGTACGTAACTATAAACAATAAAACTCTAACAATTGCAAGTCCAAATCAAGCAAATCAAACACATCAACCGGCCTTTCACAACATGCAACATATAACAAACACCAATTTGACTTTAAAAATGCCAAAATAATATACAAGGAAAGTAGTAACAATAAAAGAAAGATTATAGAGTCTATATATATTACAAAAAATTTACATAATTCTGTTAACAACCATACAGATGTGGACAATATAAATACTTTTTGCGCAAATATAATTAATAAAATTCGTATATAATAATATAATAATCCACCAATGCAAAACATTAGAAGGAAAATCCCTCTCCTTTTGACTATCCCCACCAGGACGATATAAGTCAGTCCCTCCAGAAATGACGTGGGCGAAGCCCATATAAAAATTGACAAGTTAATGTTCACTGAACTTATTAATTAGAACATTAAGGATGAACATATTAGGAGGACTCATCAAGGTGAAAGAGTCATTTGTTTTTAATTGTTAGAGTTTTAATGTTTATAGTTACGTACATGTAAGGGTTTTTTTAATAAAAAGTGTAAATTTTTTTATATAAATTTAAGTATATCGGAAATAATTTGACATAGAACGTTAGACAATTCAATTAAATGTAATAAGAAATTCATTTTATAATTGCTGAATATTAACTAATAATGTTATTATAATTTTCCAGTTTTGAAAATGACCCTTAGTATGGTCGAAACGTTAAATGATGCGTAATAATAAAATGTTGGTGAAAAATGGCCTAATTTATTGTAACTACATTTCTAGCTTAAATTCAATTAAAATTAGTTTTCAAGGGTTCAACTAATTTCACCTTATTTGTTTTTGAGTACAAAGCATAAATAAAATATATTTATTTATTCGTTCTTATTTAGTTGGGAAGTGTTGGTATATTAATTAAAATTTTGAGAATAAAAACTTCCTTTAATGTAAGCAGATATTGTACTGGTCACATTTTCTTTTTGTTGACATTTCAGAAAATTTTTCCCAACTTCAGAACGTTTTCTTGCATTCACTTATAGCCAATAGCTATGCTATGTGTGCTCCTTTGTCTTAATTTATACATGTTTTCAAAAGTGTTATCCAGGGCAGTCACATTATTAGCGACTGGTAGTATAACCAACCATTTGATATTGAAAAGATGTCCTGATGTAGACTCCCTGCTCTGTAAGGGCAACCAACATATTCCAATTTTGATATTTAATGATATGTGCGTGTATAAAAATACAATTTTGACAACTTGGAGTGATTAACAAGATACAGTTTAAATACCATGAGCACTTCTAGTCCAGTCAAATGAATGGCAAAAAGGTGCTTGTTGAGTACATGGAGGATGGACAAACATTTGACTTTGGGAATTTTCTGGGGGTACTTCGGAGATAAACATACTAAAAGTCCCCGCTTCTACTCCCTTCCGTTTCATGGTGGGGGCGCCGCGAAGTTCACTTTTTCCTGATTTTCTCATATATCTTGAAAACGAAGCGTCGCAGACGAAACATTTTTATATGCAAAATTAAAGCTAATAAAATTTCCTTCAAGAAAGTTTATAGTAATTTATTTCATATATGTCATGGTTTTCGAGATATTCACCAGCTTTAATTCACAATTTTCGAAAAATTGATTTTCGCCTCACATTGTTTCGTCAAACATGTCTTATAAACACCTTGTTCTAACCACAACAACAGTGTCTGAATGAAAATTGTATAGTATAGTTTTTTTCTTACAATCTATATATTCCCTACAAATTTATCTTTTATGAGTCTAAAGTTGCGGGAGTTTTAAATATTCTGCTAAATTTCGTCAATGCACATGAAAAACTGTAATTTATTTATTTTTTTAAAATGAATATTCACCATTTGCACGTGAAAGGTTTACAGTATTGTATGTGTCATATAGATATAATTACAAGGGCAGTAACAATACGTTTACTGTAGTTGATTATGTTTTAGGATACATCGTCTCTATTTATTACATGAAACCACTTGTTGACATATTTTTGTGGATGCTGCAACGAAAGAATATTTGATTGTAATGAAAAAAGTAACATTAAAAAAATTATATCTATCTGTTAAGAGAGGCATTAGTTAAGGCGTTAGGAATTAGACTGTTTGAACGCTGAAATTGGATTGCTGAAATTATGAATGAAGGTGATGAATAAGAGACGAGGTCTGGGCCATGGACTACCCTCTCCCACCAAATCTTTCCCCTCCCCCCTCCATCACTCCTTCAAAATATTAACACGAATAAACATTTCCTTCACTGACTCATATCAGACAGGTTATTGAGGATAAAACACGATTGTATATGATCAAACATGAAAAATAATTTAAATGGAAAATAAAAGTTTTTGTACTTTGAAAATCTATATCTCGTAAAATATTTGATCTACAGAGTATAATCTGATGTTAAATTGTAGTATATTTAATTTATTTTAAAAATATACAGTGTGGTTTTTGTCGAAAACGTACTGCTTCATGGATAAAATGGGGAAAGGCCGAAAAAAGTGCGAAAATATAGCATTTTCTGGAATATTCAAAAGTGATCCGGGGAGGAAGGGGAGAGCACCGAGGTCGAAAACTTTGATTTCACATCTCAGTCATATCCCATACAAGAAAATATTAAGAAACCTTCTACTTCCATTCAATACAACTTACGATGGACAATGTTGCTGGGCCAATATACTGAACTCTGTATTACGGATGAAGAAGAGTTGTTGCTGTCATCATTGCATGAATTAGAATCCGAAACTGAACCCTCTCGTTCCAAAGCAGGCAGACATACGAAATTTGTATTTTAAGACTTTCATTGGTTAATGTATTTTTTGATGTCTATAGTCTTAATAAATGAAATATATGCAATTTTGTATGCCTTTCTCGTACCTATACTTTCCTCTCCTGTTTTCAGTTTATTGAAATCAACTTTAAAATTATCGTTTCCCACAACCTAACACTTTCCCTTTTTTTTTTTTTATTAATTTATATATTAACGTATAATGTTTAATTTTTTAAGCACAATTGTAATATTAGTCGAGATATATAGAAGTGATACAATAGTCAACAAACTTCTTTTCTCCAATTCTTTTTAAAATGTTTTAATATGTTTCATTTTACTATGCCTCTCTTAAAAGATGGATACATTTTTTTTAATTTTACTTTTTTCATAAATAAATATGTATTTCATTACAATCAAATATTCTTTCTTTGTAGCATCCATGAAAATAAGTCAAAAAGTGAATTCATGTAATAAATATAGACGAATTATCCTAAAACATAATCAACTACAGCAAACATGTTGTCACTGCCTTTATAATTATATCTATATAACATATACAATACTGTATACTCTTCATATACAAATGTTGAACAGTCATGTTAAAAATAAATAAATTACAGTTTTTCATATACATTTACGAAATTTAGTAGAATATTTAAAACTGTCGTAACTTTAGACTCATAAAAGATAAATTATTAAAGGATGTATGCATTTAAAGACAAAACTATATTCTACATTTTTATAACCAATGTTCTTGTTGAACGAAAGGCGGTAGTGTTAAGAAGACAAGTTTGACTTAAAAACTTTATGCGAAAATATTTTTTTCAAAAATTTTAATTTTGTATACAACGATGTTTCGTCTGCGACTCCTCGTTTTCAAAATATATGAAAAAAATTGAAAAAATCGACCGTACTACCATGGAGCGGAAGGGGTAAGGTCGGAGTCTTTTAGTGTGTTTACCTCCTATGTACCCCTAACAAATTCCCAAAATCAAATGTTTGCTTTCCATGCAATCTTCAACTCCTTCGTTGACTGGACTATTAGGCTTATTCAAAACAGATAAGGCCATTTGTGAGGAATCATGAATGGCTGATGTTTATAGCACTTTATCTATATTCAGATACGTTCAGAAAGATTTTTTGTTCAAACTAGATGTATAATAACTGTGACTTGGTTCGAAAAAGGACCATCACTTTAGAATTAGAGCTAGCAACAAAAACATTCGAAATCGATAGCGTTTAGACCTCTAGTGTGATGGGGATAAGTTATTGCAAATATTAAAAACATATCAATGATAGATTAACGATCCGATGAGGCACTAAAGAATTTTTTAACATTCCAAATTATAACCAATCTAAATTGACATTGAGCATTTTGTCTTTTTTTTATTAGTACTCGGTACAGCCCTCTTTTTATGAAATTATTAACATCCGTCCAAAGGTACTATTTCACTGGTACTGCTCACGGCAGCGACCGCTATTCCTTACTGCCAACCGCTAATGCTTGTCTATTTCGCTGAAACTGATCACCGTAGCGGCCAAATATTCCTAATTTAGCGTCCGAGTTTGATATAATTTTAAATAAAAACGTTTGCCTTAAATTTAATGGTTTTTATTTGATAGCAATAGATTTTATGGCGGAGTTTTGATCTTATTTAATTAATACATGCCGTGTTTTATTATGCCGTCTGGTAGTTAAAGTTGTATAACAAGGTTAGGTTATGTCTGTACTATGAAATGTAAACAATTATCAACATATTAATTCCAACCTTCTTTAAACCTAACGTTTCTTGTAATATTTTGAATATAAAATATAATCATTCATGGTATTAATAAGATGATAAAGCATTATTTTAAGAACTGAGGATTTATCTCTGATTTTAAATTTATTACTAATTATTATTTTGATAAGCAACTGAAATTATCACATAATTGATTAGTAATAAATATCATATATTTGTAATGGAATCACAGCAGGCAAAATTTTACCATTTTATCAATAGGTAATCTGTAAATACAAGTTGTTTTTTCAATGTCTGGATTTGAATATTTACCTGAAGTTAATTTTTTTTTTAAATTTATCAAAAAAATGATTTATTATAGCTTTGTTTAAATTAAAAAATATATTTCATTTAATTTTGCCTGACTTGATGAAAAAAAAAACTAAACTAAATTAATGTTTGTGAGGTACTAACAAGAGGTACCAACAATTCATGAATACCCACTTGAATCAAAAGATAATTTAATCACAAAAATCGAAGAAAAAGGTGGCCTATAAAAATTATGGGCTGTTTGGCCTATATAACCATGTTATTTTGACATGTCTGAAATGACTTTAAAGGATTTTATCTCTTATTTAAGTTAAATTATATAGCGAACTTAAGGTAGAAACAATAGACGAATTAATTAAAAAATGCTTTACCAAATGTCATATTCAGTTGCTAGCAGTTAAAGATATTATCTTTATATTATTATAGAAAGCTTATATTAAGGGACAATTTGTAGCTCTCAACATCATCCCCTGGGAGGATTCAAGGAACTCCAATATCACCCCCAGACTAATACAAAATATTCTAATGTGAAATCTATTGTATATACATGTTGTTTTATTCAATTATATATAATTTATTTTTCAATTATATTTCTTTTTGTAATTTGTTTCATTAAATTTAACTTATTATTTTTATTTTTTAAACTGTATTTATCATATTGCATTTATTATTATTTATTTATTCTACGAATTTTAAACTAATCCATAGTTATAAACAATATATATTTTTAGAGGTGTCTTTTATATGAGATAATGTTAAAAATTGCATTTATTGTTAAAATACCCATGTATGGACCATCAAGCCAATGTGGAAATAAATAATATATATATATTACAAAATTATTTACTTTAATGTATTTTATATAATTACAGATCAAGATATAACTGAAGTCAAAGCAGTAGTTCATGGAATCCTTGGAGGTGTTCCAATACCATTCAACCTACCTAATCCAGATGGTTGCAAAGAAAGTGGGATACAATGTCCATTAGTGAAAAATGAAAACTACAGTTATATATCAGAATTGCCAGTGCTGAATGTCTACCCGAAGGTATAGTTTTCCATTGCATGTCCTAATATTAGTTTTTATAAGTTATTATAATCTTTTTATATTTGTTTATATTTTGTTTATTTTTTTTATAAGTTATATTTGAAGAAAACTGCTTATTCCTTACTGAGGACTTTGTGAGAAAAGTTTCTTATATTTCATTGGTGATGATAACTTAAAATTAAAAAAAAACTGGCCAAGGTGAGAATGAAATAATGCATGTCGGGATACCTTTTGTGCAATTGGATGTAGCTGAAGATTTTTTCTAGATGCTTTCTATTTTCAGAAATTTAGCATTAGTCAAGATCACTTTTTTTTTTTTTTTCTGTTGGCATTACAGACCATGTATATCTTTTGCCGCCTTAACAAGCTTGCTCCATCTCTGCCTGTATTGAGCTATTTCTTTCCATATATCTGCACGCAGCTCTGTATCATCTTTGTGTATTCTATCTAGTCATCTGCTTTTTGGCCTTCTATTGAGGCATTCATTGTTACATAAAGGCTTCAGGATGTATTGCTACGAGCAACATGCCCCACTCATCTTAACCTCTGTGCCTTCATATCATGGGATATTGATGGACCAGTTTCTGTAAACAGTTCTTAATTGGTTTTTCTTCTCTATGTGTTAGCACTCTGATCTCAGATCGATCCGGTTACGGTGCGGAGGATTTTTCTCTCAAATCTTTCAACACTTTTTTCTAGTGTCCTGGTTAGGGTTCAGGTCTCACAGCCGTATAGTAGAACTGACTTTATCATAGCATTGTATAGCCTTAGTTTGAGATTTCAATACGTTTGAGAGGGAAAAGAAAGCTCTGTTTGCGCTAGTTATACGCTGCTCTATTTATGCCCGTTGGTCATTCATTGAGGTTATTGTGGAGGCAAGGTATTTCAATTTTTCTACTCTCAGGAATAATTTTCCTTCTACGCAGATCCTGTGATTGGGGTGAAATTTTTGGCTTATTATCTTATATTTTGTTTTGTCTTCATTTAATTGTAGGCCAATCTGCTCTGCCTCTCTTATCAGTGTTGTAGCAAGAACACTAAATAGAACATATAGGCATTGAGAAACTCTTGGTATACATCAGGGGTGCCCATCCTCATCAAGATCGATGGCGCAAGAACTTACTCCTCCCCCCGTCCAAGATATCTTCTGTTCTTAAAAACAGAGCATGGGTAGGTAGAATTAGAAAAATTGTAGATCATATACAATAACATTTGTGGTGGTCTGTTCCATGTTTTCCCTTGTCTTTTTATTCCAAAAATTCATAATACCTTTGAAGTGTGCCTCCCTCAAAAATGGAAAACCCCGTTAAAATATACCACCCTCGAAGATTTTGATGGTACAATTTGTGCTATGAAACCCCATTCTGGACATCCCTGGTAACATAGAGTAGATTGTAACACTGACAAAATTGTAACAAATAATTACATCAGCATCACCAGCTGATTTCTTTTCCTCAAAGTAATGATCTTGATAAATTAGCTGTCTTAGTTACCACATGGACACACCAAGACAAGTGGGAGTCTTAACTGGTTAAAAGTGTTGACCCTTCCCCAAGAAAAATTCATAAAGCTATACACAAAAAGAAAAGTTATAAAAAATTTCATACATAAATATTAACTTAATTTGTTTTAAAACACACGTTTTACATATATTTCCATCTTGCTTTTTTTTTTTTTTTTTTTGCATATTCATCAATAATTTGGTTAGTATCGATTCGACTACAAATGAATTACTTTGTACTACAGAATAGATATATTATTTAATCTTTTCTCTCCCATAGTGCATCTTAAATAATTACTTACATGCTTTTAAAACAGAAAATGATCTTTCTCCTGATGTATTTAATAAAGTAAGTTATTAAACAAGTATATTAAATAAGTAAGGTATTAAACAAAGTATTCAAGAATGATTCTACATTTGGAAACCTGCTGGACATTTTTTTAGATCCTTGATAGATATCTAATGTGGATTTAATGGTATCCCCATTATCTCAATTAAAAAATGGACAAATTCATTGTCAAAAGTACCAACATTGATGATGTTTTCTATTTATATCTTTTAACTTATTTATTGCATTATTTTTTTCTTCTATTGATGAAGTAAAATTTTAAAAATAATCTAAAAGGCTCAACAACTTCTTACCCTGGGTTCTTTAAGATATCTCTGATTCGATATTATCACATATAATGTAAAATTAATTAATTTAAAAAAATATATATGTAAATTCATATATTTCTTCTTTGGTTTCATTAAAAACCATATTTCAAAGTTGTTGTCTGCTGTTTGGCCTGTATTACGTATTAAATGACAGCCCTGAAAAGCCAATTTTCATTTTTTTCAACTCCTAATTCTTTTCTGAAACTGTTGATAAAATCTTTAAAGACTTCAGAAAGCTGAACTTTCAACACTCCGAAATATTGTGATAAATCAATACATTTATTGGTATCTGTTTTGGTTTTAAAGAGAAGTAATGTTAGGTTCCAATTCAGTCAGCTTCACCATGAAATCATTAATTTTGTGAGCGAACATTTACTGTTTATCACCCTTAAAAATCAAATGGGTATGAAGGAATTTATATTAGCAGTATTCTAGGACCCATCCTATTCATGGATTACACAGTTGATACCTTATCTAGTCAGCAAAACAGAACCCTTTAATAATGTTTCATTGTTCCCCGTTGAACATACCTTTTAAAACTTTATCAGAAGAAAACATTAACGTGGAATTCTCACTATTTCCGACTAATGTACCTTATAAAAATCTAACAAAAATAACATTACATAATAACTTTTTATTTATATTTGTTGCTATTTTTTTATGTTGAAATGGAGGGGCAGCTGCTCTATCTGGCTCCCCTCTACTCACCCCGCTACATCCACGAAATTACTAAATCAACAAATTACACCAGTATCCAATCCTTACAATCTAATATCCTTCACTAAATCCTCAATGGGCTTTATTATGTCACTAAACAACCATCCATAACTAAAATGTCCAAAAATAGACTTGCTTTTAGAACAATTTTTTCACTGATTATATGGAAACATATTTTCTTATTTAAATTATGTCTCAACTTTCATTTCTTTGTTATCTTTTGAGATCAATGTAGATCCAGTATTTGCTGATCAGGGTGGCCATTTTATTTCATTTATTTATCCTCTTGAATTGCATTTAGATTAATTTTATATGATGGAATGGATAGATATAATTTTAAAAACTCTCATTTTCAGGTGAAATTGCAAGTTAAATGGGAATTGCAGACAGAAGAAAAGGAAGACATTGTCTGTTTCGAACTTCCAGCCAAGATTGTTTAAGTTTTAAGAATCACTAAATGAAAGTTAATTTTTTTACATCGATGACGAATTATGGACAAATTCATGGCTATATTTTTATCCAAAAATAAATTATTATCTACACATCATAACTTTTGATACTATCAATTATTATTTATGACATGAATAATTACAGAACTCTAGAATGATTTTAAATAAAAAAAAAAAAAAAAAATAGTTCGTAAAAGTGACAGATTTGTAATCTAATAAATGATGGTGTTTTGAAAAATCACTGCCTCCTAACTTAATTTACGAACCCCATTGAATTTCATTAAATTATATTTTTAATAATAAAAAGTAAAAATATCTGCAAAATACTTACATATAAACAAATTTAGCAACATTTCCGCCTTTCAGTGATGGTTAAAAAGAGAGTGCAGAGGCATGTGAGGAGTGAAAGAAGTAATGCAACATTAGGAGAATAAAAATTTTATATGCATCGTTCTGAAAAATACAATGGTATAGTGATCTGAAGGGTAGGATTAGGTGGACTATTTAAACTAGGGTTTTGAGTTATATTATGTATTGCAGGAATTGTTTTCAAATAGAATAGAAAACAGATGTTCTGGGAGCATATCTCATAAGAACAATAGAGATGTTCGTAAATGCATTAAAAATTCTTTTATTTTGTGTAGGAAGGAAACTTAAAACAATGACAATGCACAGTATAAAATCTAGTCCAAATTCATAATTTTATAAATCATATTATTTCAAATATTTGCTCCATTCAACAAAACAGAGGATGACAAAAAATAACCATTTTAATGGCTATTATCATGATGTAATTGAACTCCAAATTTATTGTTGTCCAAAGCAGCCGCTGGTTGCATCAGGAGCCAATTGTGAATATATCCCTCACACCCTCCCAATAATATAATATATCCCCTATCATCTTCAAATTGTTTCTCTCATCGAACTTCTTCAAGAGGTCCAAACAAGTGAAAAGTTGAGTCCAGGTCTTTTCCTGCAGTTTCATCATTGGAGTTGCAGTATGAGGCCTGGCATAGTCGTGGAGGAGGATGACCTCTTGAGTCGGTTGGTCTCATCTTCTGTGGCAATATGCATCCCTCATATCATTCAACAAATCTCAGTAATAAGCAGCATTGATTGTGCATTACTCATACAAATTAATGTGCAAAATGTCTCGCTAATCAAAAAACAGTGGAATGAACTTTTGATCCAGTTGATAGTCAAGTCTTGGTTTTCACTCTCTGTTCTTTGAAGTTTTTATGCCTGACAAACACACATGTTTTTGACAAGGTTTGATTACTGAACTCCTTCATGAGAAAGAAATTTTTTAATTATACGTTGTGCAGTGGACAGGGTACACCTGTTGTTCCAACATTGTGAGTGTTACTGACAAAGTTGTAGGAAGTATGGAACAGCTGGTTCACCCCACTCCCATTGTCTTATGCATACAGGCACTTATGCATACCCAAACACAAACGTGCTTACCCACACGTAATTAATTATTATATTTTATGTTAAAAATGTCATACTGTAATTTTTAAATTTTAAGAAACAGGTATAGGAATAACCAATAGTTAAAAAAAAACATTTTTAATTACTTTAATAATAACCTGAGACAGAATAATTTACAAGTTAATGCTTTATTATCTCAATTATAAACTGCAGCAGCTGCAAGTTTTACGACTAGTATTGTCTAGTATTTATTTTAAACCTTTTGAATTAACTTTACATTTTTTTAAAAAACAACTTTTTCTTGTGATCCATACATACAAAAAAAGAAGAGAAAAGAAAACTGGATTCACGGTATAAATGACTATAAAATAAATATTTACACATTAATCAATGAATTGTAATACTTAAAGATACAACCTAACAACAAATTTTTATTGATAGAAGCTTAACAGTAATATAAATTCGGTATTAGTTTGGTTCAAGCTCATTTGGTTTCTCACAGTAAGGTGGAGGAGGACTGTCTCCTTTAGTTAAAATACCCATTTCATTCATCGAGCTGCAACAAAATAAAAATATATAACATAAGTAATAAATAAAGTACTCATTTAATTCAAAATTAATTTTCACATACTGAATGAAAGAAAAACACAGTTGCCTCAATAAACACAAAACTAAATTAAATGCTTTAAACTTAAATATAAGATACATAAAAGTATTCTAGCAGCTCAAGTGGGCAGTTTAATATACACAAAATGATGTCCATACAGATTTTCAAAAATGGATTGAGCAGCAGCATAGACTGAAGCAGGGAACCAGCATGAAAGATGACTGTTCCCTAAAGAAGGTACAAATTTTATTATGCTGCACATGACTGTTCATATTCAAGCATGAATAACAGTTTAAGGAGGCATTATACAGTACATATTAAACAGTTACAATCAATATTTAAAGGAAAAATATCATTTTATGAAAAATAAGTAAAAATGTTGATTTTTATTCAAATAATGTCATATTAACTAAAATGATTTTTTATTTTATATTTATATTATGATTATAAATTTATATTCAAAGTTTATTCCTTCTATACAATTACAGTCAGTTCTCGAGTTACATCGAAATGGTCGTAAATCAGAAAAAAAACTTAACACTATATATTTAAGTAAAAACATTTTATTTCTTTGCTAAATCTTTAAATATGAAAGTATTGTAATTATATTATATATTAATTTAATATAATTTGGATATTCTACAAAACTAATATCGATGGCTGATTCTTGAAATTTGATTGTTTTGTTGGTTTCTTTTTTAAAAAATGTTCAGATTTATTTGTACAGTTATTTTTTTTATTACATTACAAAATTTCATTACAACAAAAAATTGCTTACTGAATGAGGTTGACCTTGGAAGGTCACAGTATTTACATCTTTATTTTTAAATTTTTGAATTCTATCATTTATTTGGTGAAAAGCTGCAGCCAATTACATAGGACAAATTTTTGGATGGTCCCTCAGGTCGAATAAATTCTTCTGTTGTATCTTTTTCCCTTGATCTCAATCAACTCTTCAATTGCGAATTCCTTCATATTATCTTCCAAAAGTTGATTTATATTTATCTTGTCAATTTCTAGATTTAGCTGTTGAGAAATTTGTACAATCTATTTTTTGTTCTTTGTTGAAATTAATATTGTTTTCTTTTAAAAAGTTTGTTCAATATTCCATTCATATACTTTAATGAAACATATTTTACTTTTTCTAAAATTCCTTCAATCTTTACTGTTTATCTATTCTTTATGTTGCTTGGGCAAAAGTGGTTTTTAAATAATGAACTTTGAAGTTAGTGATATTAACTTGATCTATTGGATAATAGTATGATTTACAAGTTAGTAAATAAACAAACCACTTTAATGTTTTGATGAGACTCACCTACATTTTGAGGATGTCTGATGCATTGCCAATAATTAATAAATACGTTAAAGATATGCTATTTTCATCACAATATTTCTTAATCATAGTGATGAAGCAATGGCAAAATAGTCTTGAAAAAGGTAATATGTTATTCATGCCTTTTCATTCCATGTAGTTATAACGTTGACTAATCAATTCTCTTAAAAGCTCTTGGATTTCCAGGATGATAGATTAAAAATTGCCTTAATTTCATAACAAGAAACTTTCCATCCCAACAAGATTGTTATACGACCTTAACATGGTTCAAAACCAGGAATGCTTTTAGCTTCTTGGTGAATGTCTGTCCTTTTGGATATTTGTTTTATCATTATAAGGTGGTTTCACCTATGTTAAAAAAAATGTCTGGCAAATAATTAACTTCCTTAAAAATCATTCTAAAATATTTTTAAGTACTTTGGCATCTGAAATCTACATTAGCCGTTTCTCCCACAAATTTTTAAATCTTTTAAACCACCTAGAACTTTGTTTTAAAAATTTGGTTACAATTATCCATCTCCTTCTTCATCAAATCTTCGAAAATACTACACACTTTAGTTTGTATTGTCATGAAGGTTATTGTAACATCTTTCTACTTTATTTTTTCATGATGATCGTTGATTTCACTGATACCAATTTTTATTGCTCTAAGACTTGGTATTTTGACATTTATTATACTTGAAGTGATCAAATGGGATAGTGTAAATTCCTATGACTGGTTTGATACAGTTTTTTACATTCTCGTAGTGTTTTTATTATTTTCATTTTGTCTCTAGGTTTATTGATATTCCATAATTTTTACTAGCCATTTTGTGAATAAAAAAACAAAAAAACAACAGCTGTATGTATTATAAACATACAGTAAAACTTCAAATTTAAGCTACTAATCAATTACAACCACACTTAAACGCACAGAATGGTTTACTGAGGATATAAGCTGTCAGAATTGAATGAATCGTCTGGGTGTTAAATGTATTCTCTTGTTAGAAGCCTATAGGGCACAACTGACAATAAAAACAAAAATAAAAACTTTTCCTCTCTCTTTTTTTAACTATCATAAGTCCGAATGGTCTTAAGTCAAGCTAGTCGAGATCTGACTATTGCATTTTGAACAATTCTATAGACAAAAAACCTTTTTCATGATAATATGTTTTGTATGCCCTATTTTTATAGGGCTGATCAAGAAAACAAACGAAAACCAGAACATTTTTTCTATGTAGAATAATAAAAACAATACATTTATAAAAATTAAATTAAATATAAATTGAGGAATAATTCAAAGTGCTGATACCTTCTAAATAAATGTATTTTAATCAAAATAGAAATTTAATTTTGATTTTAAAAAAATCTTATTGTGACTGGAAAATAAATCAAGTGATTTTCAAATTAATTAATCAAAAATAATAAAATATTATAACTGAATCATAAAACAGAGCCAGAACTAAGAACGGACAATGGAAGCATGTCTCAGGCTGCAAATTTTGTGACCTTTTTTTTTGCCAAAGTAAAAGTATTTCTTTCTACTTCTTTGTTGTTTTGATCTTAATTTAGTCAATGGCATAAGACTAGTACTGTTGATTAACAAATCAAATAATATTTGAAATACATTACCTAAAATACACATATAAAATGTACAACTTTAATTGGGAATGACAGGAGGTAAAAGATGGGGTGGCTAAATTAAGAATACTCCTCTTGTCTAAAATCTTAGTTCCGGCTCTGTCATAAAACATTAAATTTTCATAACACAAAATTCACTACAACCATTTATTTCATCATGGTTTAAGTACATCATTAATTTGAATATCAAATTAAAAGTAAAAATAATTCTTCAAACTTTTTCTGATATTACCTCCTATGCCTTCTGGCTTGAACTGAAATCCGTTTGTTTGTAGGAGAAAGCTTAACTCTAATAGCTTTTGCAGCATCAGTCTCAACAACTTTATAAGGTATTTCCCTTAATTGACTTTCAGTCATTCCATCTGTGTCTATAAGAGTAAACTGTAAATGTTGTTTCAGCTCATCTGGCAATCTTCTTTTACTGTCAGTTGGAGATCTTGATCTAGATCTAAAAATAAAAACAGATAAATTAAGATTTGGAACCGACTGAGTCCTTGAACATAATTCATAAATTGTTGAATATTTATTTTTAAAGTGCAAAAGAAATGGAATATAAAATTTGAAATAATTTTTAAAAGTTAATTTATACCTAATTTCGAAATTGATATTTCTGCTGCCTTCAAAAATATGATTGCACTTAATCTCATCTCACAAAGAGTTTTAATAATATTCACATTTATTGTAAAAATGGTATGAACAGGAAAGAAAGATAGGTTACTACTTATTGGGAGGACATAAAGAGCAAAGGTTTGCAAATATCAATAAATTAAAAAATAGTAATGAGTAAACAACGTTTCCTAATTTCTCCCAATGCATACCTCGGCTACCATCCCTGCTTCAATTCACAATTGTTTCGAGAATCTGGTATACATTTTTTTGTTATCTTTTAAAAATGAAATTATCTTTATGAGTTTAGAAACCTCCTTTGAAGAACTGAGAAACATTTATTGATGGCAGCACCCATTACACATTTAGAACAGATTGATGTGAAAAAAACTCATTTGTAATGATTCTTGACCATTTATATCAGATAACCAGTTATATCAGAAGGTGGTGTGGTCCAAATCATGCACAAGTGACAAACTTACCTCCCAATCCATTGAAGGGAAAAAAAGGGAAATTTACCTCAATACTAAATTATTTTTTGGGGGAAAAAAAAATTTGATTTGCAAATCATTAACTTAAAGAAAATTTATCACCAATATTATTTTAACTTCATAATTATTTAAAATGACTGATAGTTTTGGTATAAATCCTAATTTAGCTAAAATTGATATCTAACAAGGACACTCTTGAAGAATGAAGAAAAATTCATAATAATAAAATAAAGATTTCTTTGAATTAATAAACACACACATATATAAAACTTCCTTATTTTGGAAAAAAAATACTTATCCCTGATTTCGGGAATCCACATCATTATTGAATTCACAGTAGTTTAAACATAAAATTTACTCAAAATATCCCATGTAGCTAAAAAAAGATTTTATCCAGTTCTGTTAACAGAATTACAGAAAAAGAAATTCCCACAACGTTAATTGAAAAAAATAACAATAGCAACCATATTAAGCCAATAGAAAGTATAAATGGCTCATCGGCAACAGTGAAAACCACAAAAGAAAAAAACATTAGTACAGGCAAAAAGACCATTCTTAATACACCAGAGAAAAAAGTAACTGATTTAAATAAAAAGGAAAAAATAATTGAAGAAAAAATAACTTACAGCAAAAAACAAAACCACAAAAGATATACTAGAACCAATCTGTGATTTATTAACAAAAAACAATTACCCTCTTCAATTTAAAGAAATTTGCTTATTATACGAAACAATTCAGATAGAAAAAATTTCATCAAACACACCTGATTTGATAAAACAATTCACAAAGGATAAAGAAGGGTTAATTAGGATGCTAACAGACATTAAAGGATTCGTAGATCATAGAGGTATAAAAATATAGTCAACAAAAATTTTGAAACTACTGAACAGAAATGACCTCACCGAGATCACACCAGGTGAGAAATTTTCAAAGATATCAACGGGCAACAGAGTCTTTAATAAAGAAAAACTCAAACATGGTAAAAACGATTCAATGGAATTGTAATGGTTACTACTGACACATTAAGTACTTTAGAAAACTAATGACTGAAGAAAACCCGATTTGTTGTTGCTTACAAGAAACACACCTCAACGATAAGCAAATAGTTAAATTATGAAATTACAAAATATTCAGAAAACATAGACTGTCTGAAAGAAAGTGGGGAGGAGTAGCAATGTTTATCTTAGAGAACATCTATTGCGAAGAACTACCATTACAAACTCAAATTGAAGCACAAGCTGTCAAGATACACTTAAACGAACCTTTGACAATCTGCAATATATACTTACCTTCTTCACAGGAATTCACCGATACAGACATAGAGGGAAACCAGCTTCCAAGACCTTTTCTAATGCTAGGAGACTTCAATGCCCACAGCACCTTATGGGGTTCGAAGCTTCCAGATTATAATCACAGAGGTAGAAATATCACAAAATTCCTTGAAAACAACACTTCAACAGTACTTCTAAACTCAGGGGATAACGCTCATTTCAGCTCAAAAAATAATAATTTCTCTGCAATAGATTTAAGTTTCTCTGATGCAAGATACTCACCTAAAGTAAAAAATTGAAGTACTAAAAGCCATTTGTACAGAAGCGATCACTTCCCAATTGTAATTGAAACATGGGGAAACAGTATTATTATGCCATCGAACACCAGATGGAAATATGAAAAAGCAGATTGGGAAGGTTATAAAAAATCGATTATCCAAGGTGTACGAACCATACCATATGGACAGAATTTAGAAGAAAAAATATTTTATTTTAACGAGTTAGTTATCAACACAGCAAAAGAAACTGTTCCTACTGTCAAAAATTATATGAAACATCATGATGTACCGAGGTTGAATCGCAATTGCAATGAAGCTATAAGAGCAAAGAAACGAGCCCTAAATCGATACAGGAGAAGTAGAACTGTTGAAAATGCAATCGAGTTCAAGAGACTGAGATCTATTGCAAACAGAATAATCAAAGAAAGCAAGAGAGCATCGTGGAAACAATATGTTTCTTCCATAAACTACCTTACCCCTACGAATGAGATATGGAACAAGATCAGGGCCATCAGAGGAATTAGGAGGCAAAACTTAATTTCAGGATTTAATATTGACGAACAGATCATAACGGATCCACAGGACATTGCTGAAGCCTTTGGAAAATATTTCAGAGAAATATCTTCCTCAAGCTGCAGCGATGATGCGATAAATGATCATGAAATACATCAAAATTACATTTTAGGGCAGAGCCACTCTGATGAATACAATAGACCCTTTCGACTAGATGAACTAAATTCTTCGCTTAATGAGTGCAAAGGAAAATCAGCTCCTGGTCTCGATGAAATTCCAGGAGAGTTCATAAAGCAGCTACCAGAAGCAGGGAAAATATATCTTTTAAATATATATAACGAAATCTGGACAAGCAGAACATTTCCAACTAAGTGGAGGAAATCTGTCATAGTACCCATACCAAAAAAAGAAAAGAGCACCGTTCCCAAGGACTATCGACCCATTTCCCTTATCTTATGTGTTTCCAAAATTCAAGAAAGGATGGTCAATATAAGATTGACTAGTATGCTGGAATGTAAGAATGTCCTTTATCCATACCAATTTGGCTTTAGGCCAAATCGTTCAACTATTGATTCTCTTTTATCAATAAGCTTAGAAGCGCAGGAAGCTTTTTCACACAGAGAACATTTAATATCAATATTTCTAGACCTTGAAAAAGCTTATGACACAATGGAAAGAGGACGTGTGTTGAAGATTTTGAAGGAAGTAGGAATAGGAGGAAATATGTGGTCTTATATCAAAAATTTTCTAACCAATAGGGAATTTTCAGTAAGGGTAGGAAATACTTTGTCGTCAAGCCATCGCTTGCAAAGGGGTACTCCACAAGGATCTCCTCTAAGTTCGACCCTATTCCTTTTTGCGATTAATAGTATAGGGTCCATTATCAAGACCCCGACCAAATGTTTCCTATTTTCCGATGATATTGTTATCACAGCCAGAAGCAAATCTATTCCCTATATACAGTGGAGGCTGCAAGAAGTGATAGATAGAGTAAAAGATTGGTCAAGGGAAATTGGATTTAAGATATCATCTTCGAAGTCTAAATGTTTACACATTTGTAGAAGTCGAAAGTGTCAGCAGAATAATCCACAAATATTTATAGAAGGTTCTTCAATTGAGTATACAGAAAGTCACAAGTATCTAAGAATGATAGTTGATAAGAGACTGAATTGGATACAATATATTACATATTTGAGGGAAGAATGCACAAAAAGACTCGGAATTCTTAAATGTCTCTCACACTCTAACTGGGGTGCCGATAGATACACTCTAATAAAAATATACCAGTCTATAATATGCAGCAAAATAGACTATGGAGCGCAGATATACAGTACAACCAACAAAACAATATTGAGGATGTTAGATTCTATACACAATTCAGCCCTTAGAATATGCACTGGAGCGTTTCGAACTTCTCCAATCGACAGCATCTATGCTGAATCTGGAGAAACATCCTTAAACTTGAGATGAGAATACCTATCTCTGAAATACATTGTCAAATTGAAAGCATCTTCCCACCACCCATTAACTCCATATTTATTTTCAGAAGAATCAGAAAGAAACGGACTTAGAAATATAGAAAATAACATTTTTAAACAAGTAATTTACAAGGCAACAACTAAAATAAACATGGATACGACCATTATAAGACCCATCCCAGAATTAAAAATGCCGCGTTGGAAAAAAGACAGACCATTTATTAATAAATCTATGACTAAAATTGCAAAGGCATATCCGCTTGAAATACAAAAATCTTTTTTAAAGCTAACGGAACAATATAAAAATTTCGATTTTATATATGCGGATGCATCCAAAGAAGGAGATAGCGTAGGATGTGCTTTAGTGAGTAATGAGAAACAATTACTGTTTAAATTACCTGGAGAATGTTCAGTATTCACAGGAGAGGCCACTGCCATCATGAATACTTTATATCTTATAAGCGAAACTGAAAAGAACTACTGGGTAGTTGTGATGGACTCATACAGTGTTTTAACTGCCATTGACAATCCATATCCTAAAAACTCCATAATTAGGGAAATACTCAATATCTCGTGGGATCTAAAAAATAAAGGAATAACAGTTGTATTGGTATGGGTACCAGCTCATTGCGGAATTTTTTGGAAATGAAAATGCTGACAATGCAGCCCATTTAGCAAGAAGTGGAGGAGAAGAAGAGGAAGTGACCAGAGTGAAATATATCACTTTAGAAGACTGGGGACACGAAATAAAGAAAAAACAACTGGCAGAGTGGGAAAAAGAGTGGAGGATCAAAGAGTGTAAGCTGAAAGAAGTGAAACCCACTTGCGATAAATGGCTCACTAGCAACAGAAGGTCCAGGCGTGAAGAAATTATACTGTGCCGCCTTAGGATTGGGCACTGCCAGTTCACTCATAGTTATCTTTTAAGAGGCCTAGAAGCTCCTACTTGCTAGAATACACCGCAAACTGTGAAACACCTTCTAGTAGAATGTCCCCAATTCGAAAGGCACAAAGAAAAAATAGAACTAGGAAAAACACTAAACGAAATACTCCAAGATAATGAAGAAAGAGTCTCGATCGTGTTAAAATTTTTAAAAATTGTAAACTACTATAACAGAGTATAAATCATAGAAAACGCCAATGACCCTTTAGGTTAGAGGCGAGAAAAAGGAAAAAAAAAAAAAAAAAAAAAAAAAAAAGAAATAATAATAGAAACATCATAGTTTGTATAATTCATAAAAATTTATTAGTATTATCATAAATGATCACTGACCTATGTTTTCGATGCCTTCGAGATCTAGTATGGAAACCATTTTCTTTATCTTTTTCTTCATTATATTTTAATTCACTTTGAATCTTTCTAGAAGCAACAACTTTTGCTTTTTGAACCACTCTTTCAGCTTGCTTCCTTTGAACTTCTTTCCAAAGCTCAGAGGAATCTACCAGTTCATATCTAAAAAGAAATGTATTTAAATTAGTTTACTAATAAAAAAAAAATGTTCACCAAATTGTATGGAATGTGTATATTTAAATAAAAAATCTACTATCTGGCAATATTACATATAATATAATTTTACCTTTGTTTTGATGAATTTCGGTGTCTCCTACTATCCCGTTCACTTCCAGAAGCTCGTCTGCTTCTGTTTCGTCTTCGTCTTGATTTACCAGAGCACTTTGAGACTTCACTTTCATTATCAGACCCCTTTCTTCTATTATAATGTCTAAAACAAAAAGGATAGAGATAATTGAATTTATTAATTTATTGAAGAGAAAGAACACTTTATAAAGATGAAGGATGCTCCCTAATTTTATTAAATTTATGTATATGTTTTCCCATTATCGGTGATAAATTTTTTAACAAATATCTTTTCATTGTCAGCGATAAAGATATGTTCCAAAATTATCTTAAGATTTTAACAGAAATCATTTATTTAGTTGTCGAGAAGATTATAGATAATTCCCAATGAATTGAGTATAAACTCAGCAACCAACTAAATTTATTATTTTTATTTTTATCATATTTTAACAATATATTGATGATTAAAATTCAGCTTAGTTATTAATAATATTGGTGAAATATAACACAAATAACTTTATTAAAACTTTAAAATAGGTACTTTAATCAACATTTATTGGTGGATAGAAGTGAAAATTAACATTAATCAGATGGCTAAGTTTTTGACATTTTGTTGACAATATACCAGGTTTATTTAATTTGTGAAATATGTAAATAATTTGAAAATTCTAGTAAGGGTAAAATTATCTAAGAAAAGATTTTTTTTATATACGTTATGATACATACATAATGTTTTTTTTTAATGTTTATAATGAATCTTGCAATTGTAAATCAAACAATCCTGATAATTCATGAAACAGTTGTAAATAGTGTAATATGATAATAAGGATAATGTTATTTAGCATATCTTTTGCGAACATCAATACCTATTTCTGATGATTTTGCAAACACAAAGTTTGGAGTTGTTAACAAAGAAATAGATATATACCTTACCAAGCAAATGGTTTGGTAAATGGTGAATAGAGCATATAAGTGGATAGACAAGTCTTATAAATTTGCAAGTTGAAAAGACAAAGTGATGAAACTAGAAGGTATAAAAATTAATAATACTAAAAAAGGACTTTTTAATGGAAAAATATTTATTTAAATTTACTTAATATCCATCTTTATAATTAAATTATTAAAGTATAAATTTCTTCATTGTCATGAATAATGATAAAATCAAATCTGTAATATCGAAATTTATACAAAATAAAAATAAAATAATTTTACCTTTTACATGGTTTTGAATCTGTGGATGAACGACTTTCAAGTGATGCTGATCTTCTAGATAATGAAGACCGAATATTACCAGCAGACCTCAAAGATCGTGGACTTGGTGTGGTGTAGAGGCCACGTGTTGGCGGAGCACTTCTAATACTTCGAGGTGATTCACTTCTTTTATTTCTAAAAATAGATAAATGAATTGTATCAAAATACATAGCAAAAAAAATATGAAACTTAAAACTTCATTATAAAATAGCAGTTTATATTTTGTATTTATTCATGATAATATATTGGTGATTGATCATCAACACATCACATCTCAAGAATTCACTACTGCAATGTAGCTTGAATTTTAGGCTAGAAGGACAATTTTTATGATTAAATATTAATGATAGAAGAATAATAAAGATTAAATAAAATTTTATTCTTTTAAAACTTTATTTGAATCTTAATAAAGTATAGAACCAAAGACACTTCATGGATTGTAGTATTATATAAATATTTTAATCTGCTATCTGTGGGAAAGAGAATAAAATGCTGTAATGGTTGCTATTTATACAACATAGGGTTTGAGTTGTTTGGAGTAGACTGGTAAAGCCTGAGGGCTGTGAGCTTGTTACTTTCACAAACTTCCTAAAATTAACTACATCATTTCTGTTTAGACAGTTTCATTGTTAGGAGGCCATATATGTTGCTTTGAATCAGTTTTACTCATTATGGAAGGATAGGCCCAGTAAAGAAGGAGCCCCCTTACCTCGGAACAAATAGTGGCATTGAATACCCAATGGCCAATGGGTATTCCCAGAGGAGGAGGCACTGTGGTATTTACTAGGTACTTTACTTCAAGGTACAAGAGGGGAAAGAGGAAATTTATACAAAATACATGCCTTACCTGAAAGAAAAGTATAGAGATGACTTTGGCGAGAGGGAATTCTCAGTAAAAGGGATATGGTTTGGAAGCAGGGGAAGCATTCCTCTTAATACACGAAATTTCTTGTAGAGACTCAGTATTGGAAGGGAGCAGATACAGACTATGGACGAAACGGTTATTTTAGACTCGTTAGGAATCCTCCATCACCACATTTATTGATCTAGGCCTTCAATTATTTGATTTTATAAATCGTTCTTGGCATGTCTAATAGGTATTCCAATGGTCCAACTTAACTCTCTCTTATATTTTTATACAGTATTATCTATTGATAGATAAGTATGCTGTGTTATTTAGCAACTCAGCACAGTTGAGCAGCCATGCAAAGTTGTTGTATTTCTTCTCCTTCCTTGTGTACAGTGTCAATGTAAAATGTACTGTTCTGTGATTATTTATGCAGTTTACTAAACTCAGGAAATTAAACCACACTAGCTATGCACTTCAACTAACTTCAGCGAGTTCTTTTTAATTATAACTTCATTCTATTTATAATTTTTAATATATAATCATGGCATTGTTTGTTCTTAGAAATATAATACTGAATTCTCAATTAATGAATACTTACTGCTGGTTGTGAGGCAGCTGTATTATACTGAAAGTTTTCCGTTCCCCAATATTTTGTGTCTCTTTTTGTATGAGAGTTTCTTGCTCCATTAATGCTATAAGTGACAATAATATTATTTTATGAATATTCTCTGAAGAAAACTTTTTTTTTTTTAAATTGTATATTTAAATTTGGATGAATTTTATGTGGTTAATATTAATAAAATTTAAAATTCAATACTTAGATTACATTTTAGTTATTTGAATGAATGTAAATATAGTTTTAAACAATATAAGAAATGATTTAAGTTTATACTTTCTCTAGGCATCTCAATTTCTCTTCTTTGGTATCTTCTACTTGGTGTTCTTACAAATTGTGTATTCCTCATTCTTTCACGACTAGTTTTGTCTCTTCTTCCATTAAAACTAAAATAAAGAACCTGATATAGAATATATATATGTATATAATTTTTTTTTTTTTTAATTTTACAGTCCAAAGTCTAAAGCTTAATAAAAGTTCCATTTTGATAGATTTTGAATGAAAAAAAACAAAAAAACTAGCAAAACACAATCTCCAATTATATTATTCATATTCTTAAACTTAACTTTGTTTAATTTTATTTTTTATCTTTTTTCATTGTCAAAACTAAGTTTAATACTAATAATAGAAATAAGAATTTTATAATATCAGAGAATAATTAAAGTCACTATTCAGTTATTAAGAACAGAATAATGACACATAGCTGGATATCAATGTTTCTCGGTCTCAGGGAATAATATAATAATTTGACTTATCCCAAAATTATTACATGTTCTGAATTAATCTGAAAAAACTGAAAATGTGCAATATAAAACTCAAAATGTGCAAAATCATGCAGTAAAAACCAGGCGGTATGCCTATTTCAAGTCTTCAATATATAACATAATGTCATGCAGATCATGGGTTCAATACCCTTGTACTTAACCATAAATCTACTATCGAAATAAATAATAAAATAAAATAAATATTTATATAGATATCAATGTATATTTAGTAAAAGAAATTTCGTTCAAACAGTTAATTTTATGATATTCAAATAGAAATTTAGCCTTTATAGTGAAAAATATGCAACATAATGCAACAAAAACCAAGAACATACTATTTAGCCCGAAAAAGACCAAAACGTGCAATTTTGTGCAACACCAAATTTCAAAAGTTATTCCACATATCATGAAATGGATAGTTAATTGGGTTAGAAGTTTTTACAAACAAGCGAATAAAATGAGTGATAACACGGAATTCTGGTCCCTATTTATAACTAATAAACCTTTTCATTAAATAAAAAATATAGGACAATATTTCATAAATATTACCTTGAACCAATCAGATCTGGTGTGTTAGTTGACAGACTGGCAAGTTTGAAGAAACTACTATGTTCCACAGAACACTTATAGAGATGTTTACATGCTGACTTTGAAGGAGTTTCAAAGCCATATGTATTTTCTTCATTCTAAAAATTGAGTCATTGTTAAACAGGGTGTCCCATGAGTAGAGAGAAATTTTTATAATAGTGATAGCAGACCTTATGAGCTACAAGAAAGTTCATATAAATAATGGGCCAATTTTAAGGAAAAAGAAGGAATCCAAGTTTAGTGTTTCTTTAAGTGTCATGGTTTTTGTTGAATGAGAAGCGATAACTAAAGAAATATTTAATTTAAGCACTTAAAAAGTACTACAATGAAAACTAGACAAAATTTACTTCAAATTAAAATGGAGTTTGCCATTGTTAAAACCATTTAAACAAAACTTTTGAGCGGCTAAACTAAGTTAAGTTCTGTTAAAAAAAAAAAAATCATAAATTATTAACGATTTTTTTTTAACAACATCCAACTATACTACATACACCTCACTTCTAAAAAAACTTCCTCGTTTAATAAGCTTTATTTACATACTGTCACTTAAAAGTCCCCGTATTTTCAGCAAAAGTGACTATTGTAAAGCTTTTATTTCTTAACATCAAGTTTTTCACTTATAAATAAGGATCAATTTCGATGATAGAGATCTGGGAGAAAAACACTTTTTCATAACCACTATACATAAAAAATATTTTAAAAATTAATATTTTTTTAATAAATAAAAAGTATAAAAAATAAAAGCTTTGCAGCAGTTAATTGTAGTCATTTTTGTCTATAAAAACCACATAATTTTTTACACATCTTGAGATAAATCTTAAGTTTTTGCCAAATAAATCTCAACTTAATAAATGTATACTTAAAACTTATTCGATGAGGAAGTTTTTCTAAAAGTGGGGTATCTATTGTATAGTTGGATCATGTTAAAAGAAATCGTAATTAATTAATGTTTTTTTTTTTTTAAAACAGAACTTAGCTTAGTTTAGGCGCTCAAAAGTCCTCTTTAAATAGTTTTAACAATGACAATAACACCATTTTCATTTTAAGTAAATTTTGTTTAGTATATATTGATTCACTTTTTATTTGCTTAAATTAGATATTTCTTTAATTATCGCTATTCAATAACAAACATAAAACTTGGAATTCCTCCTTTTCTGAGGCCTGAAAATTGGCCCATTGTTTATATCAAATTTTTTGTAGCTGATGAGGTATGCTATCACTACTATAAAATTTTTCCTCTACTTAAAGGACACCCTGCATATTATATAAAAATTAGTCATAAAATATCATTTTATATTATATTCAGAAATATTTATAAAATTTTTCATTATCCAAATGAATATTAACTATAGGTATTGAATGTAGTTCATATTTTATGTAATCATTTTTTTTATTACATCAACTACAATATAAATAAATAGATTCAGCTTTAACAAAACTTCAACAAAACAAAACTTTAACAAAACAAAACACTATTGAAATTAATAGTGTGAGTTAGATATTTATGAGTGCTTATATAAAACAATAAATTATGGAGCAATGTTAGTGGTACGTTACATAAAAATAATACTATAAAACAATCATAATTAAAGCAAAAATAGATCACTTACGTTCTTATCTGTAACTCTTAACATAAAGTATTTTCCTTTGTGGTATATCTTTGTTATACGGGGCCTAAAAAATATTATAAATTTAAAAATACTTTAAATATAAATAAATAAAAATATAAATAAACCTTGTCAATACATATTCAAGTAATTCAATAAAAACATAGTTTCAATTAATAAAATAATAAACACAATTATTTTGTAAAGAACACTTAAAATCCCTCACCAATAATAATTTGCCACTTTATTCTTATTACGAAGAACAATCACTCCAGTTGGCATTAATCCCAGGAAGTATTCTGTGTTGTCTTCTCCCTGTAAAAATTACTTTTTTCAATAAAAGATAATATTAGACAATTTTCAATTTGTTTAATCTATATATATAAAAATGAATGTATGTCTGTCTGTCTGTCTGTTTGTCCTTAGTACATTACTAAACCATCCAACCGATTGCCATGAAACTTTGGGAAGTTGTTCCGTACACTCCTGGGAAGGTTTCTGGCATAGTACTTCTGTCTTACGATAATTTTATATATGTAAAAAAAATAAAATGTAAATGTTTTTCTGTTCAAAGCAGCAAAAAATGTGTCGCTATAAACTGTAGCGCCAAAACGGCTTTACCGATTTTAACGAAACTTGGCTAAAGTCTTCCCCTTGAAACTCTTTTAATTTATGATAACATACTTTCCCAAAAACAAGCTGAAAAATGTTACGATGAATTCAATATTTTATTTGACGATAACTAAAAAAGTACACAATTTTTTACTGATAATACCCACATTTATTTGAAAGATTTCTGAATCGCTGACAAAATTTTAAAAAAATCATCGAAATAGACAAACATTATCTCGGAAATAAAACTATTTCTAGCGGCCGTAGGAGTAAAGTGGGTTAAATTATTTTTTTAAAGAAAAATAAAGTTGAGATTTGTATTTCGCACCTCGATAAACCCTCAAATACCAATTTTCACTGGAATCGAAAAATAATTTATAAAGATAATACCCATATTTATATGAAAGATTTCTGACAAAAAAAAAAAAAAAAAAATCACCGAAATGATGAGTTATTAAGTTTTAAACATTTACTGCTTTCTCTTCAGAAAAGGCCGTTTCCTTTTGCTTCCTCACTACCAAACGTCAGCAAGCATTTTTTTTATTATTATTTTTTTATTGATTAATCGAAAATTTTATAATTACTACAGTAATTGAAATTATCATTTGAAGAAGTTATATGATTCTCCTTATGTAGGTCAATACTATTATACGTTTTTTTTTATTAATTTTTTAATTTAGTTTTATAAGTTCAACTAAGACTGTTTCTGATGTTTATGAATGACGGCGTATTTACTCAGATGATTATGAATGTTCAATTTGAATCATGAGAAAAAAAAAAAACCATTAGAATTACTTTAAATTGAAGCCATTTTACAAACAAATTTGTTTCCCAACTTTTTAAAAATGACAGATGTCCTTATCTACTAATCTACGCATATGTGCTTTCTATTTTCTTTCTTTTTCATTTTGCCAGGCTTAGCCACAGCAGCGCGTGGCCGGGTAAAGCTAGTATTTCTAATAATTCAGGTTATATATTATACAATAGTCTCATTAAAAATATTTCTTTTACAGTCCATATAATTAGTAGCTTTCAATAATAATAAATAAAATAAATAAATTTATTTTCGGGTACAAATGGAGTTGAGTTTTATACGCATACATTTATTATAATATACATAAATATGATACCTAATTAATTACATTAATAGTAAAAACCATATATAATATAATATTATATACAAAATAAAATTAGTGTGTTTGATACAACTAACTATAAACAAAACAATCTTTCTTTAGCAAATTAAAATATAATGCTTAGTCCTAATATATATTTATATATAACCTCAAACTTAATTAACATTAAGAATAGATGAAACTATTTATTCTTGAACAAACAAAAAGTGATTCCTTAATTTTAAACAACTTCCTACATACCAGTATAAATCATTGAATTTATATTTGTTTTCTATATCTAATAATTGTACTATTTGATCTTTATCAAATAGTTACTATTAAACAATTACCATCAATATATTCATTTAAATACTTACTTCTAAAGCCTACATATGAAGGGCAATGCTACAGAAAATGGTAAAATTCTTCGGGTTCACATGTATTACAAATGGGGCATTCAGTACTTGTATCTAGAAAACTATTTTGAAAGCATTAAGAAGTAAACTTTAAGTTCTCTGGATGGCACAGTCTTAATTGGCTAATCATTCTATGCTTTTTTATTGGCCCTTCAAGTTTTAGATAATATTCCCCCTTAGTCAAGCTACTAATTTTTCATAAGTTTTGATTAAATTTTGAGTTCAATATGGATTGAATATCAAGGGAAAATTTATTACATTTTAATTTTTTCAATAGTGTTTTTAAATTCCTCTTCAAATAATTCTTTATTTTTAATGTTCAATAATTCAACTGAGTCTATGGCTCTCAACATATTTGTCAATTGTGAATACCAATTATACTTTGCGTTAATTAAATAGTTAGAACAATGTTTTTTTTTAAATTTGTAAACAAAGTTTTGGTAATCGGTTATCTTCCATTAGGTCTACTTTTCGGTACCAGCGAATCATTCTTTTAAGAATGCTTATTTCTAATGATTCTAGACCCGTTTTTACATGCACATAATGATTAGGGGTATTACGTGGCCAATGATTTATAGCTTTAAAATAACTCAAAGCAACGTGCTCTATTTTGTGACAGTATAATGGAGCCCAAACCTCTGCTGAGTACAAAAAAAAAAAAAAACGGAATTTACCATGGAATTTAACAATTTAAATTTGGTATCGAGAGAATCTGATCTTGACCTCAACAAGATTTCCCGAATTCTATATGAAGCCAACTGTGATTTTTTGATGAAATTATCTGCTGCCTGAGAAAATAAACCCAATGATGAAAAAAACATTCCTAAATAATTATACTGTTTAATTATATCAATTTTAAATTTGTTATAGAAGAGAGGTTTAACTTTATTCGAATTACCACCTTTTTTGAAAATCACACATTTTGTCTTTTCAACATTGACAATTAACGAATTTAATTGACAAAACTAATTTCTTATTCGTTCTGACCCAAACAATATCAAGTAAAACTAAATCATCCGCATATATCAGTCTGGATATTTCTGTTGTATGGTCAATATTTATTCTATTACATCCATCATTTTTAAAATGATACATTATATCTGAAATGAATAATGAAAATATTATAGGACTAAGGGAATCTCCCTGTAATACTCCTTGATTGATTTTAACTGATTCCATATTAAGTTCATTCTTTAAAATAATAATAGCTTGTTTGTATAATTCTCGTAAAATATTTATTATTTTAGAACTCAATCCGAGACTATGAAGTTTTTGCCACAATTTTGTATAATCCAATGAATCAAATTACTGCTTAAAGTCAACAAATGTAGCAAATACCTTGTTGCCTTTGTAGCCCATTGAAATATTTATTACAGAGTTTAAAGTAATAATACTATCAATGCAACCTTTATCCGCCTTAAAACCATTTTGTTCTTCTGGAATCAAGTTATGATTTTCCACCCATTGAGTAATTCTATCAGCTAGAATAGTTGTGAATAGTTTAACAACACAGTTTATTAGTGCTATTCCTCTGTAATTAGGGGGGCCTTTAGCATCGCCTTTTTTATATAAATGGAGTAGGAGAATGGCAGCTTTCAATATACAGCACCATCTATCAGAAAATTAAAATATAATAATAATTTTCTGTATAACAATTTTTTTTAATTGCCACACACATTAATTCCATCTCATATGGTACTTTTAGGTGACTGGATAGAAAATCACATCATTTCTTTACCCAACTTGAGATGAATCTCAAAATTTATGACCTTTTTTTTTTAAACAAAACTTGTGTTTAGCCACTCAAAAGTCCTCTTTAAATGGTTTTAACAGTGAAAAACTCTACATTATTTTAAAGTAAATTTTGTCTAGAATTATGAAACTCAACCGTCGAAAAGTGAAAAAAAACTTTATTGAGAAAACAAATCAAACAATGAACATTATGACATGCTAAGTACTACTGCTACAGATCTCTTACTTACTGACTAGCCTAGGATTTTATGGGGGTATATATAGGTAGAGGAGAGGGAGGCTGCTCAGAATGTCAAGTCAGCATAGTTCGTTTCTATAACTATTCCCCCCTTGAGTGAGGTCCTCCGAACAAGGATGTTTGTTTTTCGGTAAGGTAGGAATGCCACGCTCTAGACCTGGCGTCGCAAAAGGATGATAGCTCGATGGGATTGCTGATAGGTGGGTGATCAGGAGTTACAATGTTTGTTAGAGGTATGTGGTTGTTAGTCTTATTTTTAAAAATGTTTTTAAATTTATAATAGTAAAATAATATATGGTGAATAAACAGATATATACATATTATCAAAGTAAGATATAACATAATGTCAGAATGAGTAATTACAGAATAATCTTCTAAAGGTTCTATATTTAGAGTTCCTAAGTCTAATTTATTTACATCATCGTAGCTATAATTAGTAACAATAACATTATCAATATTATGCATAGATATTATGGGTATATTTACATGTTCTTCGTATCGAATAACTATAGATTTATTTACAAATATTTCATTTCTGTCAAGGCTTATTAAACCAGTGATTGGTAAATGATATAGCATGGTTTCTGTTATGTTATTTTCAATAGTAGATAAATTAAAAGTGAGATATTGATTAAGGCTAGGTATAAGTTTAATAAATGGTTTTTGTGAAATTCCTATTATTTTACAATGTTCTAATTTTTGGTTGTTACTTAATTCTAATATACACTTATCTTCTACTAAACTAAGACTTTTGTAATTACAACAAAAGTTGGAATTATATTTTAAACATTTTCCTTTATGAAACTGGCTTTTATGTCTTATAACTAAAGTATTTTCAACTGGAATAGTTACAATATTTTCCTTATAAATAATGGGATATGACAGTATTTAAACATATGTAGTCGAAGGGGCAACCCTTAGTGGTAATTTAATAAAGAAATAAATCATTCCCGAATCGGACATTGAACAAATCGCTTTACTTAATAACCAATTTAATTCTATGTCTCTTGTTAGTAAATTTTTATATGGAGTTTTGATATTTTTAATTTCGTCATACGATAAGATGCTGGGGTGTGTCATGCCTAGTTTACATTGTTCTAATGCGTCTTCTGTTTCTTGTAATTGTGCTTCTATGAGAGTTAAATATGCTAAAAGGTCATGATATGATAATTTGATGATTGT